GTCCACTACATCATCTTTTCTCCCACACAAGGTCATTGCAGCTGTACTAACTGCCTCTGTGCTAGGTAGGGGCTCTTGTCCACTTTCTCCACTTCTTTAACTAAGTTAGCTTAGTCTAGCCCTTCAGATCTCACTTTAAGTGTCCCACTTTAGGGATGCTTTCTCTGAGCCTATTGGCCACATCCCTTTGTTGAATGCTGGTTTTTCTAGCACTGTGTTGCTTTCCTTCATGGAGATTAGCTTCCTTTCTGATGGTCTGTGATGATTTAATTAATAAAAATTAATTAATTTCAGTTAGTAATGTGTTTCCCTTGCAAGATCATCAACTTCATGAGAGGAAGAATCCCCTTTGTTCACACTCCCCATTTCATTCCTATGCTGGAAAGTGGGCCCCGATTGGGTGTTTTCTGAATGAATAAGTTAATTAATACCTGTTCTTGGAGTCGTCACACCTCCTGATGGCCCGTTGCCATTTAACCATGGCTCGTCTCACTTCCCTAACAGGGAATCACCAAGAGCAGTGCCATGGATGCCCTGCTCTAGGGACTGGACCCAGAGCTCATAATGTGCCTTCTCCTGGCCCATTTCAGCCCATATGGAGGGCTTGCTCCCTCCTCTCTGGAAGAGCCCTGGGCCCAGAGTGCTTTTCAGGGAGCTAGTTCCCTCTCTTCTTCCTCCTTGGCATCAGAGATGTGCTAGTCAGTCTTTCATTTAAACCTTTCTGTTGGTTTCCCTTTGGTATCATTTCTTCTAGTCTCTGTAAGACCTCACCATTTTGGCTGATAAACAGTGATGTGGAGAACAGATCTTTGGGATGCTTCCTTGGGATCAGCTGTACCTGGGACACACGTAGCTAGTCGTTACCTCTGCCAGAAGGATAAAGTGGATTGCTTCCTGTTTGGGAGCTCCCCTTTTGCTTTCATACCTCTCAGGTAGAGTCAGAGGTGAGGTGAATTCTTCTGGAATACCCCTGGCAGCTGCCTTAGCTAACGTGTTGTTTTGTATCAAAGACATTCGGTCTGCTCTCTCAAATTTCTTCACTTCTACTATCTAGGCTCAGTCATTTGACCATGGACAGATTTCACATCAACTCATCACCACTTGGGACAGCACATGAGCTCTGCTGTGACCACTCCTGGCCAACTCAAAGCCCAGCCTTCTGGGACTTGAGAATTACCAGACTCATTGGCTCTTTCCACTTTCCCTTTCAGTGCCCTGCTGCCAGATCACTTGGTGCAGTAGGTGGCTAACCTGACACCCCTAACAATGACACTCCTGACCTTGAGGGTGTTGTTGGTACCACCTCTGATCCACTGAGCTTCCTTGGGCCATGTGCACACACCCTGTTCCCCTCACTCACCCAGCTACAATACAGGTCAGAAGTGCAGCAAGACACCCTGAGTGAGGTACAAGCTGTAGCTGAGGAAGAAAAGTTTGAGGGTACATGGCCACAGGTCAGCTTGGCCTGGATAGCAGGGGTCAGATTTGCAGTGCCCAGCAAGCAAGGGCTGGCCTGTTGTATGGCATGTGGCTAAGGCTGTGGCTCTGGCTCCTCCACTTACTGAGGGCATTATTAACAACTTACTCTAGGATCTCCAGTTTCCTCATCTGTGAGGATTTCATGAAACAGTTGATATTTGGTGTTTGGTGTTTGGTTGTAACTATTTGGCTGATCCTGGGATCTAGAACAGGCAGCTTGAGGCCATTCACGTCTGTGAGGGAAGGAGACTGCAGAAGTGGAAAATGGAGAAGGATAAGGCAGAGAGGATTTCCCTGAACCTGTTCCAGGGCTGGGGCTGACCCTCAAGGCCCAAGGGACTGAGCTCATTTGCCTCCCATGCTCACTGAGTGTTTGTGTGTGTTTCTTTTTCTTTCTCTCCCTCCCACCTTCCTCCTATTTCTCCTTTCCTTCTTTCCCTCCTTCATTTTTTAAAATCTTTGAATTATCTCTTCTGACTGATAGTTCCAGAGTAGTGTGCCGCTTAAGTATTGCAGTGATGTTATTTTCTGTCTCCCACAAGATATGCTGCTCATGATTGTTCATGCTTATGACCTTAAATCCAGTCTGGGTCACTAGAGGTGACAGGCTGAGGTGCAGACCTCACTAGGCAGGCACAAAATGGTAACAAGAATGTGCTCCAGATAGAGAGGATCTGTGACAATGTTACAGGCATCTGGGCTAGTGACCGACATGGTAATTCACTCTAGGTTTTCTGGGCCCAGCAGAGGTGTGTACCCACAAAATGCCAAATACTCTGAGAGACACTTGCCCTGTCACAGACTATACAGGAAGAGATGAGTGGCTCTGAGTTGGTGCCCACTGAACTTGCTAGTTGATATCCGCACGTCAGAGGCCAGGACAGGAAACCAGGGTCTCTGCCACACAGGACAGATATGTTGCACTGCCTGCCTCCAAGCCTGGCACATACATTGCTCCCTGTTATTTAAGAGGCTAGGTCTGGGGTCTGACATAGAGTTCAACCTGGCTCCTCTTCCCTCTCACCTTCACTTCTAACAGCTAAGGCCACTTGAGTCCTCTTGTGAGCCTAGTGGCATTCTAGGCTTTGGAACAATACTGACCTTAGGTGAAGTGCTTACAGAGGATTGGCACTAAGTTGGCCTGACTGTGGGTTCTGTTCCCACCTGGAGGCTCTGTCATCATGACTGAGTTTCCGGCTTTCGCTGAGGCCCCTCACATATCTGCATCTGTGATCCCTGCTACATACCCAGCACTCACAGAGTGCTGCTTTGCTTTCATTAGTTCTCCTGAGCCTCCCCAGCCTGGAATCCAGCCCTGGAATTTCTTTCCCCCATCTCTCTATGGGTTTATTTATCTATCTATCAATTTATTTATTTTTGTCATAGCTTTGTTGTTCACTTACCATATAATTCACCCAATCAAAGTATACAACTCAATGATTTTTAGTATTTTCAAAGAGTTGTGCAGGGATCACCACAATCAATTTTAGAACATTTTCATTCCCCTAAAAAGAAATGCCAAATCTATCTTCCTCCAACCCCACCTGCAGCCCTAGGCAACCATCAATTTACTTTCTGTCTCTACAGATTTCCTTGTTCTGGACATCTCATGTAAATAGAATTTTATAATACATGGTCCTATATAACTGGCCTCTTTCACTTAGCATAATGTTTTCAAGGTTCATCCACATTGTAGCATGTATCAATATTCCATTTATTGTTATTGCTAAATAATATTCCATTGTGTATGTACCACATTTATTTATCCATTCATCAGGTGATGAACATTTGCTTACTTCGAGGTCATGAAAACTTACCCTTATGTTTTCTTCTAGGAGTTCTATAGTTTTACCTCTAACATTTAGGTCTTTGATCCATTTCAAGTTAATTTTTGTGTATGTTGTGAGGTAGAGGTTCAAATGTATTCTTCTGCATGTCATCCCAGCACAATGTGTTGAAAAGACTATTCTTTCCCCCACTGAACTGTCTTGGCACCCTTGTTAAAAGTTGACTCTTCAGATCAATTTGGGGAGTATTGCCATATCAACAATATTAAATTTTCTAATGCATAAACATGGGGTTCTGTCCATTCATTCCCTGAATCTTGAAACTACCAAATGCCATGTGATTGTGAAACTCTGTGTCTTTGTATATTACCCATCCCTAGAAATTAAGCCACCTTGCTTTACCCTGTAAGGCTTCTTGCCCCTATTCCCCATAGGCTTCTTGCCAAAATTTGCCTCTCTGACTTGGCTTCCTTCTAACTGGATCTGCTCCAACCAATGGGGGCACCTAGTTATTGATCCCAAGTCAAATTAGTCTGGACCATCCACTGTCCACCAATCTCTTAGCTCCCAGTCTTCTCCTTGAAGAAATGAGCAACGTGAGAGAGGATTCTTGGAGATGGGGAGAATTTTCCAGCTGAATCATTTCCCTGTGGTATAACTAGAGTTGAGAAACAGAAACAGAAGATCGTACACACATGAATTGTGCCACCAAATTTAATCAATAAAGTCCCAGGAGAAGTGTACAAATACTCAGAAGTGTCCCAGTATTCTTGAGGTGGGTGTTTCTGGGAGACTAAAGGTAGCTCACAAGTGCATTCTCATTTATGGAGAGTATAGAGGACCCTCACAGCAGAACAGTCTCACAGGTCCCCAAAACTTCTCTGTGTCTCCTTCCTTCTCTCTCCACCAGTACTAGGACATTCATTTTCACAAATTAGTCCTTCTAGACAATCAGAAATGTTTTGTTTGAAACCTATTGGATTTTATTAACCAATAATTTTAATTTAAAAAAAAAGAAAAAAAAAAAGGAAATGTTTTGTTCTTCCTCCCTGGGACTTAGAGTAGTTAGATGGTCTAGCTCTCCTCTGGGAGCAGGGCCTTTGAGCCAGAATCTCTGCCACGCCTAGGCAGAGGATGGCAAGTGTAACTTCTTTGGGCTTTTGCATCTCTTGAAGGTACCTATCATTTCAGCCTTCCACCTGAATATTCCAACAAGTGACACCTGTGCATGATCATGTTGGGGCAGATGCTTCCAGAAGGCTGGGTATCTGTGCTTTCAAGACTCCAAAATAGAGCATATTAACAATGCAGAACTAGACCACTGTATACTTTGTGCTGATAGAAATAAGCTAGTCTGTTTTTAGTTTGAATTTTCCAGTCTAGGTTTATAGGGCACAGCTTCAACCACATGGGAAAGAAAATCTTCATGTGCACTACTGAGAACTAAGAAAACCCATGTGTCAAGTGGAGCACCTCAGTTTTATGCGCCTCTCATACCCAGAGCTGGATTTTGATACCCTAAACTATTGTATCTATAAAAATACCTCATTTTAGTGAGGTGAAATTAGGCTCTGCTGCAGTAACAAGCCAACCCTGAAATCTCAGTGGCTTTGTATATTAAGATGTATTTCTCACTCATGCTAAATCTCTTGAGCCATTGCCTTTGGGCCTCAGGGAAGGGCAGCGGCCTCTGGGAATTTCTCTGTCAAGCTAATGAAGTTCTTATACCTCCAGGTGTGGCTCTGCGGGGGCAGCATGGAGGTCTTGCCTTGTTCCCGGGTGGCCCATATTGAACGGAAGAAGAAGCCATACAACAGCAACATTGGTTTCTACACCAAGAGGAATGCTCTCCGGGTGGCTGAGGTCTGGATGGATGATTACAAATCTCATGTGTACATAGCATGGAACCTGCCTCTGGAGGTACTACCCACCAGTCCTCGCCATATCCCTAGTACGGTGATATCTTTAACAAGCTGATGGTTCCTCTCCATAAATATGCTAACACTTGCAAAATTATAAATGCATTTTGAGGAATTCACGGATTTCCAGGTTTTAGAATCCTTGCTGTACATGGGGACTATGACAATGGAAATTTTGAAATCTATTTTCAAAGATTAGAAGGTTCATATTGTGTTAATCCAAGTTTTATTATATTAACTGGATGCCCTTCTCCTGAACATACATTGTGACCAGAAGATTCTTGCGCAAAGGTTTTGGCACCAGACCTTGTCATCTGCTCTCACTGTGTGACATATGTCCCTACTGTATGCCGAATCCCTTGTTTACATGGCTCTTCAACTCTCCTCCATAGTCTGCCCAGAATATAGTCTAGGAAAATTCCTGTGTTACTGCAGCCCTTTGAATTCCAGCTCTGCCACTTACTAGTTATGAGATCTTGAATAAATCCATTTATATTGCATCTGTACCTTATGTTCCTCAGCTATAAAATGGGGATAAAAGCAAGTCCTCCTTCCTCAGGTGATTGTGAGAACTAAACCTGTAGTAGTAAATCTAAGTACACATGACATACTTAGAGCAGTGCCTAGTACGGGATATGGAAATGTTGGTGAGCATTGTTTGTTTTCCACAGCACAGAGGGATCACCCAAACCCTCAGCCACAGTTGGGTTCATCTCCTCAGCCAGAGTTCCTGCAGGTATCCAAGCCATGCCCTTGTGAGTGTGCCCTGGAATTGTCCCCACTGAGAAATGGCAGTCCCTGTGTTTCAGGAGGCTGGAGCCCAGAACAGCAGAAATGCAGTTGAATGTGTGCAAGTCTGTGGATAAAGAGGATAAAAGAATATATATTATTGTTGTTTCATGACAGCTATGGAAATAATGTTCTAAGCATTGAAAACCCCCTATGGCCCTGTAGCTGTTACGCCATGAATGATTTCACATGTTATGCTATATAGATAGGCAACACTCTTTGAGCCCTTACTATGTCTTAGGAAGTAGGTAAGTTCCTTATTTGCAATATCTCATTTAGCACTCAACAACCTTACGACTCCGGAACCATCTGCTTCGGTTTCCTCATGTGATGTCAGTGGAGTAGGTGTTATTTTTCCTGTTTACAGATGAAGTGTTGCGGCCTAGAATGGTGGTGTTATTCAGAGTTGTAAGAACTCAGGGCTGCTGACTCTAACTTGGTGCTTTCTGCAGCAATACAAACAGCTTCTGGTCCCTAATGCCAGTGTACCCTACCACACTTTTCATGAATGACCTTTCTCATTAATCATGCACAGTAAATTAAAACAAAGAGTTAGTTTTTTTTTTTCCTCCCGCTACCCAAGATGCCTAAGGGAAAGAAGGCCAACGGAAAGAAGGTGGCCCCGGCCCCTGCTGTCATGAAGAAGCAGGAGGCCAAGAAGGTGGAAAATGCCCTATTTGAGAAAAGACTCAAGAATTCTGAGTCTTTTGGACAGGACATCCAGCCCAAGAGGGACCTCACCCTCTTTGTCAAATGGCCCCTCTACATTCAGCTGCAACTGCAAAAGGCTATTCTCTAAAAGCACCTGAAAGCACCTCCTGTGATTAACCAGTTCACCCAGGCCTTGGACCACCAAACAGCTACTCAGTTGCTCAAGATGGCTCACAAGTATAGACCAGAAACAAAGCAAGAGAAGAAGCAGAGATTGTTGGCTCAGGCTGAGAAAAAAGGAGCTGGCAAAGGGGATGTCCCCACCAAAGGCCACCTGTCCTTCGAACAGGGGTTAATTCTGTCACCACTTTGGTGAAGAACAAAAAGGCTCAGCTGAGGACGTGGTTGCATAGTGTAGCAGTTAGCACATCTGCTTTACATGCAGAAGGTCCTGGGTTCACGCCCCAGGGGAGCCATGGTCCATGGTCTAGGCCATGCCACCCTGAACAAGCCCAATGTCTAATCTTGGAAGCTAAGCAGGGGTGGGCCTGATTAGTACTTGGATGAGACACCACCTAGGAAGACCAAGTGCTGTAGGCATAAAAAAAAAAAAAGGCTCAGCTGATAGTGATTGCACATGACGTGGTTCCCATTGAGCTGGTTGTCTTCCTGCCTGCCCTGTGCCATAAGATGGGGGTTCCCTACTGCATTATCAAGGGGAAAGGCCAGGCTGAGGCGTCTGGTCCCCAGGAATACCTGCACCACTGTCACCTTCACACAAGTTAACTCAGAAGGCAAAGGAGCACTGGCTAAGCCAGGAGAAGCTGTCTGGAGCAATTACAATGACAATCACAATGACAGATTTGATGAGATCTGCTGTCATTGGGGAGGCAACACCCTGAGCCCAAAACCGGTAACTCATAATGCCAAGCTGGAAAAGGCAAAGGCTAAAGAACTGGCCACCAAACTAGGCTGAGTACTCTGTCAAGCTTTCTGCACATAAAAGTAATAAAAATCTTTCAACCAAAAAAGAAAAACAAAATAAAAATTAAAAAAAAGGTTAAATATTGCTGTCCAGGTTTGCCTTTGAAATGTAATGTTTGACATTTAAAAGGATTTTCCTTTGAAATCACTATTTGGCTTAATGAAATAACTTGAACTCTTTTCTTGATCCCCTAAGATGCTGCTGGCTGCCTGCCACTACGGAGAGAGCATCCTGGCTCTGCTAGTTCATGGCCATCCTGTGGCTGAGTCGGTGGAGTCATATTTCAGCTACTTTATTTCCCCTTGTCAGCACACAGCAGCCCATTATAGGTTCACTTTTATAAAAGCAGAGTGAATTATTCATTAGAACATCATTACAAGCTTTGCAATGGAAAATTATTTTCACGTCTGCATAAACGAACTTCACAAAGAGCCAAAAAGGGGGAAATTACACATGTGTAGAAAAGAAAGACAAGAGGTGGTTTATAGGCATCTATTTTCTTGTCTTAATCAAATAATTACTCTAATAATTGGCTCAGATAGTCACTGAGGAAATGTGGAGGAGATGGAGCTGAGAACGTAGGTTGTCACACCAGTGTGTTCCAGGATCCCTTTTGCATGGCAATAATAAGGGCAGCTAACAATAGAGACTGTGTGATGCACTCAGAGGACAGCAGTATCTAGCTTGGGGATAGATAATATAGTAGATCCCCTTAATCCAACCTTCTGAGCAAGCATGCACAGAAATTAAGTTTTCTCTCTGATGGTTTTCCCAAGGGCGACAGACACCACCTGTCCTCTTCAGCCAGAGGTCCCCAGTCACTAATGTCCTTTGCTTCTATTTTCAGAACCCAGGAATTGACATAGGTGATGTCTCCGAAAGAAGAGCCTTAAGGAAAAGTTTAAAGTGTAAGAATTTCCAGTGGTACCTGGACCACGTTTACCCTGAAATGAGAAGATATAATAACACCGTTGCATATGGGGAGGTAATTAAGACTACACATGCTCTCAGCTTGAATGGCTGTGCAGTGGGTTGTGGATCACTTTGATGGGGTAAAATAAGGAACAGAGTCATTCATCATTCCTTCATTCATTCCTTCATTTATTTACTTGTTTCATAAGTGGTTTTAGATGGTGTGGTCCCTGAGAGAGAAGCTCTCACCAGCTGGTATAGGGGACAAATATCATGTTACAATGGGGCGTAGGCCACCTTTTTCCTGGGGTGTGGAAAGGATAATGTGTTCGTTTGGGACATTTTGATTTTGAAGTCCACTGGGACCCATAAGTGTGACACTGAGTAGGAAGTTAGATATAAAGAGGTGGAAACTAGAACTTTCCATCGCTCAGTGCTGTGGGCAGAGCCACTTACCACCAAAGAAAGGATGCAGATGCTTCTTGGATTTTCTGTGATGTGATAATATCACCTTTCTAAACATTAAAACAATAGACTTTTAATAAAATGCTATAAATATGCAAAATATGAAAATAATAATAATAGCGATGGACACTTACTGAGTGCTTTTGATATTCCACACACTATTCTAAGAGCTTTTCGATAAGAGAGCTGAGGCCTTGAGAAATTAAATAAATTACCTAAGGTCTCACAGCCTATAAGTCATGAAGCCAGGATTGAACAAAGGCATTCCGATTCCTTAGATAATATGTACATTTTGATGTATGGTCTTCTTTAGTGTGTGTGTGTGTGTGTGTGTGTGTAATTAAAAAGATAGATATTTTATATACACAAATATGTTCTTTTTATATACACATATCTATATCTCTAGATCTACATATGTAGAGATATATAGATATATAGTTACCTAGATCTAGATAATTGATACATTACTGAAACCATGTTGTCCATATGTCTAATAACTTAAAATGTTACTCAGTAATATACAGAGAATATTTTCTTATGTCATTAAACATTTTTCAGCAACATTATTAATGGTCACATATGATGATACCTTTTGTGTATGCTTTGTTTTGATTGAAAACATAGACATTTATGTTGTTTCCATTTTTAAAATACCATAAGCACCACTGCTGAGAACGTGCTTGTATATAAGCCTTGTTCCTTCCTTCCTATATGTGTTCGGATGAGGAGTCAGTGGCATAGAGTCAGGCCAGGGCGTAGGGAGCCGAGTGGATGCTCTGGACCTGAAAGAGACATCCCATTAGCTAGGCATTTGGGTTTCTTCCAGGGCTGCCTGCAGCAATCTGTGACAACCAGGCTGAAGCTAGGAAGGCTCTTTTTGACTTAGAGTATTTATTTTTTCTACAACTGCAAATTTTCTTACTTTATGCCTGATGCCTTTTATAGAAAGTAAATAAGCCCCAGGTTAAACCATCAGGGTTTAGGGAGGTGCCCCCTCCTAAGCTGGAATCTGGAATAGGAAGCTTGTTTCTTGCAGGGGCAGTCTGTATAGTAGTTAGGGAAATGTGAAGACTCTTGAGCCACCCAGAGTGGCTCTTCTCGGCTCCTATTCCCACACTAAAATGGGGGAAGGAAATTGCTTACTGCATAGGATTGTTGGGAAGAGAAAATGAGCTGCAATGTGTAGAGATCTTAGAACAATACCTGGCATGCAGCAGTAACTATTAATAGGTCCAAACTGCTTTGTCTTTTCTTCTTCAAAATAAAAGCATGGTTTGGGGTTTTTTGTTTGGTTGGGGTTTTTTGTTGTTATTGTTTTTGTTGTCAAAATATGATCAAATATGAAGGAAGCATTGAAAAATGATAGGCAGAGTTTGGATTATTTGTAAGACAATTGGATAAATTACCTACCTCTTTGGAAAAGAAACAATTTAGATTCTTATAGCTCACAAAATCCCAAAGTGTATTTAGATGAGCTATAGCAGTAAATGAAAGAAAAGAAACCATAATAGAACCATACAGAAATAGATATGAATCTGATCTCTGAAAGGGGAAAGGCTTTCTAAGAATGAAAGCTGTGGAAGAAAATACAAAGGAAAAGGATACTAGATCTGAGCTCATAAATATTAAAGTAACCTATATATCAACTGAATGGAGAAATAATATGCCAAACTGGAAATACGTATGCCATAAATATTGTAGATGAATCGATAATACCATTAATACATAATGAGCCCTGCAAATTGTTTTTTAGAAATTAATGTACATTAAAAAGTTAAAAATTCCAAAAGAAAAGATAAGATCCAGGAGAAAATACAAATAGTTGAAAAACACATGAAAAATTTTAATTTATTTCATAATCAAAGAAATTAAAACTAATTTAAAAATACATTGAGATAGCTTTTTTCCTACTGCCAAATGAACAAATATTCATTTTTGGAATATATGTTGGTATTTTGCCAGCAAGGTCTTGGTAATATGAAAACCCACATATCCTCTGGTAAGAGCACAAATTGAAATAAGCTTTTAAAAAAGCAATTTGAATCACATGTATTAAAAGACTTAATGATAGTCATTTCACTCTTATCCTAAGCAAATAATCTGAAATGAGATTTGAGAGTAAAATTTTTCATCTCAGTGACTTTTTGTTTTGGATCAAAATTTTGAATCTAACTTCAAGATTAGTTAAATACACTATATTAATGGTTTGAAATATTTTGCAGCCATTTCAAAAGCTGTGTACAAAAGTTTAATGACATGAGGAAACACTGATAATATAATTCTTAAAAGGAAAGGTCAAGATTGTAAATTGGATTAGCTACTATTTTAGAATGGAAGCAAGTGAAAGAATAGCATTGAGAAATGGACATGATAGTTTTAGTTACCTCTGGATATAGCAGACAGATAGTTTTTGTGTAGGTACTTTGTCTAGTTTCCCAATTATCACTAGTGTTTATGTGATATTATAATTAGAAGAAAAAGTAGTATTCACAAAGAAAGAATAAAAATAGAAAGATGCTAGAAGATGGCCAGGGCACAGTTCCACAGGCTGTGCACTGCACAACTCCATGGCCTGCCATTCACATGAAGCACGGTGAAAATGATATCTCTGGAGCTGAACAGTGGGTGGCCTTGTAGGTAACATAGAGCTCATAGTCTGATTTTTTTGCGGGGAGGGCGTCTTGTTTTTGCAAAGTTTTCTATCTCTTTAAAGTAATAAATTTAATGCATACATTCTGTAGAAAATATAAAGGTGAAACCAAAACTTACTCTAATTCACAATTCCCAGATATGATCATTGTGTTAACATTTTAGGCATTCCCTATTACTCCTTTGTTTACTGAGCTCATCATGTACTGAAATATATGTCAGAAAGACAATAGCATTAAATGAAAGAAATCTGATCAAATTCAGTTTGGTAATAAAAGCTACCATTATTTAGACAATACTATTTTTTTTTTTTTTTTGATCACTAGAATGCTTTTGTTGTTGCTGTTATGGTGACATGGGTTAATGAAATCCAGTTTCAAGTATACAATTCAACAATAAGTCATATATATATTGCATTGTATGTTCACCACCCATAGTTAGGTTTCTGTCTGTCACCACGTATTTGATTCCTTTTACCCCAGCTACCACCTTCCTTCCCCGCTACCCTCTGGTAACCACTAGTCTATAGTCCAAGTCCATGAGTCTCTCTTTGTTTGTCATGTTTGTTTGTTGCTTTTAGGTTCATATCCCATGTAAAAATGATATCATGTAGTTTTCAACTTTTTCTACCTGGCTTATTTCGCTTAGCATGATTATCTCACAGTCCACCCATGTTGTCGCAAATGGCAGTATTTCATCTCTTCTTATAGCTGAGAAATATTCCATAGTATATATGTACCACAGCTTCTTTATCCAATCATCTCTTGTATGGAGAACTCTACTTTTAACACTCACTCCTGCTGGTTCTTTTCCCCAGAGCCAGACCCCTGAGCTGTGGGAAAAGAAGGAAAAATGAATTCATACTATACATGCAGTTTGCACCCTTCATTTTCATGTACAATTCTGCTTGAGAGTCTTTCCCAGGCCAATTACTATTTCTGAGTTTTATGCTCCTTGTTCTTTTCTATTTTTTTTTTTCACTTAGCTTATTTTTTGGCTTTCTAGTCATTCAAATTGTATACGTCTTGCTCTTGATAACGTTATGGTAACCTCTAAAAACAAAAACAATAATGCAACAAAACAAAACAATTTCTGAGCCCCAAAATGAAAGGTCAAGTGGTGTGTAATACAAAAACTTTAACACACTTTCTCCTGATCTCTTCATCAACTTTTCAGTCTTCGTTAATATTATCTGGGATTTTAGACCCAAACATTATTATACCTTTCTTAAGAATAACTTTGTCAGTTTGATGACAGAATTTACCAGTATTCAGACAATTGTATATTAATGCTCACTCCTACTACTTTTTGTCACCACACCAGAACCCAGTACAGTGAGGAAGGAAGACAAATACCTCTGAGCAGTTGTCAACTCCAGCGTTTCTGCTTCTCTCTACATCCAGTATCAGTGCCCAGGCCCATTGAGATAATAAGTCACTTTTCCTTGCTTTTTAAAGTCTTATTAATCTCTATTAGCTGGAACATCTTAGAATAATTTTTTAAAAGATATGTGTATGCTTTATGTTCTGACTCTTAAATGTATGAAATACTGCCTTCCTACATGCAAAAGCACTTCAGGGTGCACAAAAACATTGGGCCACTAATACTTTAGCCCAGAATGTTATGGAATCACCTCCCCTTAGTCTCTGAACCCCTCAGATGGTGTAAAAACATCTCCTCACTGCTTGGGCATAATTCAGCCGTGGTACTAGCTCTTCTTGTGTCTTTCCCCCAGACCATAGACTGCTTCAGGGCAGGGACTATTTTTTTAATCTTTGTATTTGTTAAACTTAGTACAATACCAGGCTCTTACTAGGCTCTCAATAAATATGTGTTAAGTTCCTGAATGATAGATTCAATTGCATAAACATTAGAAACAAAATTTAAAAGCCTAGCATTTTGAAATCATGACATGGAATGTGCTATAAAGTCAATAATCTCCTTAATATAGAAAGAGCTCTTGCAAACCTATAAGAAAGCCACTTGAGATCTCGGTGGGGAAATAAACTGATAATTCTCAAAAATGGAAATAATTACTAAACATAAAATATTTTAATTTACTATTAATTATAAATTTATAAAATAAAGATCTTTTTATTTACCTCCCCAAACAATAATATTTTAAATTATTTTAATCATCTATAATTTTTATTTTATATTTATTTTAAAAGCTTTGTTAGACTTCATTAGCTACATTTTTATCATATTGCTCTTGTGTATATACAAAAAGGAAAATATAAGCAAAGTACACAGGTAAAGGGAGTCCTTACAAAAATCTAACTCTCTGAATTACTTTTTGACTTAGGAATTGTCTGGGTTTTTCTATATAATCTGTCCTTTGCAGCACTGAAAGCATTGGCAACAAGCATTCCCTTAAAGCATCTATAAAAGAACTATGGTGTTAGGCTCCTATGCCAACTTTGCAATTCCATAGAGATAGCTGGCTTTGGACCATTTTGGGGAATGTTAGGCAACATAGCTGATTCATCACTTCTCTCTAATGCCTCTATAAACTTTTGGTACTTTGTGTTTAAAGGAATGCTCTACCATTGAATTTTTTCCCTATCTGGTGTTTAATTGACATATAACATTGTACATGTTTGAGGTGTACAAGGTGTTGATTTGATACACTTATATATTGCAAAATGATTACCACTATAGTGTTAGCTAACACCTCTATCACCTCGCATAATTACCATTTCTTTTTGTGGTGAGAACATTTAAGATCTACTCACTTAGCAACTTTCCAGTATATAATATAATATTATTAGCTATCATCATCGTGCCCCACAATAGATACTCAGAATTTATTCGTCTTATTACTGGAAGTTTGTGCCCTTTAACCAATACAGTATTTTTAGATGGTGAACCTCAGAACTGATAGATATTTACGTACCCTGTAAATCAAATATAAACTACTTTAAAGCATCCAGAAAGCAGCTGGGCAGCTTTAATACTGAACTCCTTGATACTGTAATCCTAGTTCTATGATTTAATTCAAGAAAATCTTAAATGTGAACAAAACTGTATACATCTTAAAGTTGTTTATCTTAGTAAAAACTAAACAACACTAAATTGCCCAAAAATTGCGAAAAAATTAACTGATTGTGTGACAGGATTGTGGACAATCGTTACTTTCTTCTGTATTTTCCAAACTATTTCGATGAGATGGTGTTATTTTTATAGGCTCTAAAACAAAGTCATTAAAAATTTACTCAGTTGTCTGAACCTAGACTTAATTTTGGTGCACAAAAACAGAGTGCCCCTTGCCCCTCATCTTGATGTATCCCTGGTTAGTTTGGTTTCCATGCAGAATATAATCCGGAGGGGACCATGAATATATGGGAAGGACCACCATTGCCATTTTCCCACTGGTTGAGGCTGCAGGGTGGTGGGCAGGATGGACACCAATATAGAATAAGAGTGCACCTGGAGGTCTGAATTAGGTAAGTTCTTACAAGCTCCCAAAAAGACATGCCTAGGTCCTGGGGTTTTGTCTGAAGGACTTTTGTATATTCTTCCACAGGTGCAGTCCAAACACCTAGAATGGTGCCTGACACAGTGTAGGCTTTCAGTAAATGCTTTTTGAATATATAAATGTTGCTAGAGCTTTCATGATGGCAAGGCTTTTGTGTGCTTTTTTGATTACTGTTCTTCATGCCTCTATGCCAGTAATGAGCTGAGAAGCTGAACTATGATTGCCAGGGTTATTAAAATCAATATTGGTGCCGAAGCTTACTTTGGATAACCAATGGGTGACTAGTGTTCCTATGTCCAAAAGCTTCTCAAGATCCTTTTTTATGTTGGTGATAGGGGAGATATGTCTGTGGGTGTCACAGGCAGAGGATTGGTGCCCCCAGCATCCAATGAAGGACTCTGTCTTTCCTGCTAAAGTGATCACCTCACAGACTCAAGCTTTGGTCATTATGTGGGCCACCCCATGGCCTTCCCATCGAGAGACTGGGACCAAGACATGGTGGGCCAGTGGTTGAGCAGCAGCTCCACCAAACGATCTCTGATGGGCGATGTTTTGCCTATTCCTGCAGCTTCGCAACAACAAGGCAAAGGATGTCTGCTTGGACCAGGGGCCGCTGGAGAACCACACAGCAATATTATACCCATGCCATGGCTGGGGACCCCAGGTAGGAGCCCATCTCTAACCAGGAAAAGAGTAAATTCACTGGCCTTAGAGGATTTGTGGGACTTCCAGTAACTTCTGTTGTTCTTTACTTTGGTAGTCGTTACCTGTTCTGAGAGGGCGGGGCTTTCTAGTTGTTATTTTATGAGTTAAGGAAAATGAGCAGTTGCATCAGCACAGATATTAAGAGGATAGATGGGCATGTGTCATACTGAAAGAAAAATGCTGATAGGCAAGTATGTGTCACATGTGCATATGTTGTATTTATAACCAAATACACCTACTTACAACTTCAAAGAAAGAGCAGATTCCCTCATACAAGCCTGATTGACATGTCCACCCTGAAAAGCCATCATCAGTAAGTATGATGCAGTCTGAAAGCACTGGTACAAGAGCCAAGCGCCAACTGGGAAGGAGGAAGGCGCTTGCAGTATATGTCAGAGAACACAGGTGTTCCCTGGTCTTTCAGAAGAATGCATTAGATAACTCAAAAAGGGCACAATGATCAACCAACAAAGTGAAAACAGAGTCTGAGAAATGAATTTGATTTGACAACTTTGTGCTAGCCAACGGTGTGTGTGTGTGTGCACAGAGTTTAGCAAAAATTCTCTTAGATTGGGAATAAACATATCCAAAAATGTCATTTTAAAAAATTTATAAAAATTTAAAACATATTTATGTCAACCAGTAGTAATAAAAAGCAAGCTACAAATTCGGAAAACATTTATTATTCAATCCTAGAGGAACGCTAGACAGTTGGTTCGAAGCCAGACTCACAGATTCTCTCTCCTGTGAAGGGAAGACACTGGACAAAATTCCCTGTACACTCCCATTGTCTCTCTCTATCTCAGGTCCTATAAACACACATGTTCACGTGCAAATTCACATTCATACACACATACTCACACATGCATTCATAAAGGCTCATGGCTTTTCTCTGCGTATAGCACTTTGCTTTCTCATTAAGCCATTACCTGGAGAGAGAAGAGTTATGTTCCCTCTACTATTACTGTGAGTAGTTCCTGTAACCTAGAATCTCAGCCTCCCTTCAATGTTATGGGTCCTCTGAAGGTGGATGAGAAATGTCAGACAGGTCGAATCCTGAATCCTTTGATGCTTGTAGCCACTCCGAGAGGTAGCAGGCAGCATGAGGAAACTGAGGCTCAGAGGGGCAAGTGCCTGTTAGCAAAGCAGACTAGAACTCAGGCCCTCTAGCACAACCAAAGGGTTTTTAATTCAAGATTATTCACTGAGCCCTAGCACCATTCACAATTGGCTAAAAGTACCCAGGGGGAGCAGGAGAATGACTGGGAAGCTTAGACCCGCTCCTTCCCATTGGGCAATGGGGCATTAGCATTGAAGGCAATATGTATTAAAGAATCCAGGGATTGTCTTAATCCATTCATTTACTCATTCTCTCAACAAATATGTTTTGATCACCTACTACAGATGCTAGTCATAATTACATAAGGCAGTTGATAAGATATAATTCCTGCTCTCAAGTGGTTTACACTTGAGGAGCAGAGACAAGTAAAGAGGTAGGAAACCTACAGCACAGTAAGTGTGTAAAGAGCAAGACAGCCCAGGGTGCGGGGTGCTAGGAAACAGAGGAGTCCCTGTTTGGCAGCAGCTTAGAATGCAGGAGGGAAGTAAGTGCTGAGAGGTAAGATTGAAGACAGATGAAGAGGCAGATCCCAATGGCCTCATAAGGCATGCTCCAAGGCACTGGTGCTCACACTTCAGCGTGAAGCAGAATCACCTGGAAGGCTTGTGAAAGTACTAACTGCTGGGCCCCATCCCAGAGTTTCTGAGCTAGGAGGTAGGGGTAGGGCCTGAGATTTTGCATTTCTAACAAGTTCCTAGATGATGCCAATGATGCTGGGATTTTGCATTTCTAACAAGTTCTTGGATGATGCCAATGATGCTGGGACTTGACCATGAGGGCAATGAGGAGCCACTGAAGGGTCTGCCTGGGGTAATGATATATTTACACAGAGAGCCCTGGAGAAGTTCAGAGAGGGATGGATGCTGTGGAGACATCCTGGCCTTCGGCCTCTTCTTTCCCCTCCCCAACTCTGAGGAGTGAAGTACCTTGAAGTAACTGGAGAAGTGGGTGTAGGGAGCTGAGATCTGCATGGAATGGTTAAGCCAGCCGTTTAAGAGGCTGCACCTTGGGATAGGCCAAATGACAAGCCAATAATTGACCACACCTACTCTGGGGCAAGACACTGGGAGAGGGAGATGAGGACATGTTAGTATTGGGCCAGGAGGAGAGTGGGAGCCTGGACACTGAGCCGTGGGGTTGTCCACTTCTGAGCCATATTGCTGTCTGTTTATGATCATTGATGGGAAAACACCAGGAGTAGCTTTAAAAAAACACTTAATTCCCAGGCTTCTTTGTCCAATCTTCTAAATAAGGGACATTTGAACTGAGTACTTACTAACTATGACATAATAGACACTATCACATTTAGATATTTGCATAATCAAAAACTGGCCTCGGAGCCAACTTCTGTGAATGAGAAAGGGAGTAAGGATAGTTTAATGATGTCTCCCAGAGCTCTGAGGGCTTCCTCAGATAGCTCTAGGCAGTGGCTTTTTCTTGAGTGTTTCAGGGAAAGTTTTCTAAGCCACTGGGAAGCTCTTGGCGGAACCAAGGATCAGTGCATTGAGGTGGCTCTATCTCTCTACGGCAGCCCTGTGGCCACCTTCTCCAAAGTCCTCCTCCCCATCTTCTCTGGCTACTCAGGGCACCCTCTAATGCCCTATGATGTGCAGAGCTCCAAACATAGTCTAGGACAGACCCCTGTGAACTTGACCTTCCTCACCCTTCTGTCTAGAGTCTTTACTCTTATTGTCCCCCCCT